CGACGATGATTCTGACCTCCTTTCCGGATTCCAAGCACACTAGTCGACTCGTGAGGTCGAGAGAAGGATTTTTGTGGTGGTTAAGACCTCTAATTCCTTTTAGATCGACCAATTTTTCTAGGTTTACCAAAATAGGTTGAAAATAGGTCTCATTCAATTAAATCATTCTTTAGTGTCTTTGGGTCAAGATTTTTAAATGAAAATACTCAGGGGATATAGTAGATCTCATGTTGGTGATCGAGTTAAGAGAAATGGCCGGGTCTTTTTACGATTTAGGTCACGAACGTTTAATCTTCGATTTCTCTCTCCTCTGTGATTCATTCTCTCTCTAACTAGTGTTGATGGACCGATCTAGTGATAGGATACATGTGGGTGGTCTTTATCGGGGACAAAATTGATCTAAAAATGGTCAATTGAGGAACAAAACTTTCAGTTGGGTAAACGAGTTAAGGGGTTTGGATTTTGAGTTAGGGTATGTTTGGTAATATTCAATTTGATTATCAGTATGTTTTTGCATATATGGTTTTTTTTTGTGGCTTCCTTGGCTCTCTAGCCACCTTTTGGTGTCCCCCCTAAAATGTAGAGAAAGTGTTGCTTTTATAGAATATTTCTAGGGTTAAGAGGAGAGATCTATTTTTCATTATTTTTGCTTTTTTTTCTTTTTGTATTTTTTGTAATTTGAATTTATGCACATGTTTTTTTTGTATTTTTATTCTTTTTTTCATTTTTTTGTAGTAAATTATAAAATGAAGTAATAAGATAAAATGAAATAAAAATGAATGAAACAAATAAAATAACTAAAAATATAGAAACTTTTTAGGTTATGACATTGTTTATAAAATTTGGGTTCTTCTTTTTCATCTCCAATTACTTGATAATTTCCACAAGCACAAATTCCACTTTTTAAAGACCTAAAAATTCTTTCACAAGATAATCCATGTTTTTCAAGTTTATTAGTTTTGTAATGAAAAGTATAGGGTTTTGTAACCTCTCTAACAATCTCTCCACTAAGTAGGATTTTATTAGTCCATGTACTTATTTGTTAAGGGAAAATTGAACCAATTCGGAGTTATTGATGTTTATGCTGATCGGTCATAAAAGAAAAATTCTTATTCATTCCGATTAAACTTCCTTCGTGTTAATGCGGAAGTTCTTCTTAGATATAAAGAAATGTTTCTTGAATTTGTTCATTTGGAATCTAGGCACTTATTTATTTATTTATATTTATATTTCCCTCTCTTTTCTTTTTTTATTCATTTTTGTCATTCCTTAAGTCTTATAGGTTTGATCTTATAGAATATGATCTCGCTTTTTCATTGAATGAAGGGTACAAAATAAATCAAATTGATTTTTCGATCACTATTTGAAATCTTTGATTTTTTCCTCTTTCGTTATCCTTATCCCACGAGTATAGCATTTGAATCAATAGAGAACCTTTTCTTCTCTATCTATATGAATTGATATTATTACATTCTAATTCCTTCCCGAGACCTCCCAAGGAAAATCCTAAATTGGATCCTAAATTGATACGTTAGTGTGACCTTATCTATGCGGTTATGCACTCTTCAAATAGGAATCCCTTTTCTAAAAAATCCTAGCTTTCGTGCTTTGGTGGGTCTTCGAGATCTTCTCAATGACTTATGTTGTGCTGAAAGAATATTTATATGATCTTATCAATTGCGTAAGACACACGATAGTCATGAAATCGAGGAAAGTATATAGAAAAGACCGTTCTTTTTTCTATTCTTTTCTATTAGTATTAGATTAGCATTAGTTAGTGATCCCAACTTAGTAAGTCCTTTCTTCCATGATGAACTGTTGGTACCAATATTATATTTTATCTCTATGGATCGAGGAGAAAGGGGTTCAAAGAAAAGAGGATTGTACCATGACGAAGCAAGGAGGTCGACCTCTTTCAAATATACAATATGGATTCTAGCAATTCAAAGTAGTTGAACTCTCAAGTCGATCTAAATGAATCATCCTTTCCACAAAGGTAAATCTTTGCCTCGCTAGCCAAGAGGATAACAAGTTACAAATTCTATTTTGGTAGGATATATATGTTTTTTAATTTTATTACTATGAAATTCATAAATGAAGTAGTTAATAAATGAAATAGTTAATGGTGGGGTTATCGTTATCTTTTTTGTAGTAATGAATCTTGTATGTGTTCCTAAGAAAAGGAATTTATTCGCTTTTTAGGGTCTCAAAGTGTCAATGTTAAATCCAAAGTCAATCCTACCTTCTTCGTTCTCGATGATAATCAAATATTTGATTAACCGGAAAAGAAGGACAACTACTAGTCGATAATGTGAGGGTGAGTATTGCTAGGGTGGCCAAAAACCCTCATTTACTCGAGTGAACGTTCCAAAGTTACCGCAAATTTACGAGTTTTTAAAAACTCCAAATGAGTTCTTGAGCTTTCTTTCCTATCAAAAAAATCAATCAAATACGAGTTTACAATATCATGTTGTTTTTACCAACAATCCAACGTAAAAAAATCTTTTTTGTCTTTCCTTTTTTAATTTTTTTTGCTTTTTTTAGTAACTAAAAAAAAGTATTTAGGGGGCTGTTTTGAGGGAGGTTTTATGTCTATTTTAGTGGGTGTTTTAGGGGGTTTCTAGGTGGTTTTGAAGCTGGTTTGGGGATGTTTCTGGAGATGGTTTAGTGGTTTAAATAGTATGTCTAAAGGGGTTGCTCTGTAAGGGTTTTTGGAGTCCGTTATTAGTGTAGGTGCCCAAGATCCAAATATGTATGGGTGAGCTTGAGTTAATGTATCATTGCATTATTTATTTTGATAATAATAAAGAAGTCATTTTGTTAATTCTTCTGTTTACATGTTTAGTAGAATTAAATAGAAGTCCTTATGATATGTATTTGCAATAGTGATTGATCGAAAGATGTGAGACAAACACTATTGCACATAAATGATATCATTAAATGTCCCAAGTCATAGCATTGTTAAGAATGGACATTAACAAATACGGATAGACTTGTGAGTGTTATGCTCATGTTCTATGATAGCAGTAGGAGATCTCACACCTATTGGCATGGTGATGCCAAAGCAAATGCTTGGGTGATTTATGTTAGTGAACATGTTACGGACTTGACTCGCCATGAGAACCCATTTGGTTTTAGTATATGGGAATCTCATATGAGATGAGTATAAATGGCTCTTAGACTTGAAGTCATCACGGTTATCTCATTAGAGGACTTATGCACTTTGACACTTGTTTCGATTGACCCATTAATGGGTTGCACGTGGGCAATTCGTTGGGTGCACTAGGAATCTAATGGAGATCCTTATATGCTAAAGGAGTTATCCAATTGCACTTCGATAAATGTCCGCTCAAGAAATCGATGGCCATAGTAGGAGTACACCAATAGAGCATAGTTAGCCTACTCTAAGAGCTAAGATTTTTAAGAATCGAAGAAAACTTGTGCGATCATAATTGAACAAGATTAAAAACCAAGTTCGAGATCACACTATGATAAGTTGACATGAGAACTGAATTGTATTGTAACCATGCTCGTGAAAGGTAATAATGGATTAACAAATCCTTTTAGAGAATTGGGTAGTCATGATGCTTTGCTAGAGGTCAATCTTGATTTATGTACAAGAGATTAAAGAGAAATCTTTTATTCTTCATACATTGCCAATATATCTAAGAGCCTATTGAGTCACATGCATAAGTTTACGTATTCACTTTACAAATAAGAAACAAAAATATTAAAAAAAGTTTCGATTTTGGAAAGAGTTTCCAAAATGAAAAGTTTTCCAAAAATAAAAATTTTCCTATTTTAGAATTGATTTCCTAATTTAGAAGTTAGTTTAAAATTTGAAAATAAAGAACCTAAAAGGAAAGAAGTTTCCTAATTTAGATTAAAGGGTATTTTGAAAAATTATTTCCTAATGTGAACTTCGCCAAAATAATCTAAGAATATTTATTTGGATAGTTCAAATAAATTAATTGGACTAAAATAGTTTTACCCCATTAGATTTAATTAAAAAGCTTAAAGATAATATTAGTGAGAGGATAAACATCAACCTTATTGGATAAGGTTGAATGTATTAAAGATAAACATCAATCTTATTAGATAAGATTAAATATTTTAAGATAATAATCAAATAGTCCACATATAAGATAACTCTTCATTCTTGAAAGATAAGGAAGCAATAACCTAGAGTCCTTTTTGGACTCAAAGCCGCCACTTTCCTTGTCCTCCAAAGATAAGGAAACTCTCCTATAAATATATGGGAGGGAGAGGGAAAATTCGACCAAGACAAAGAAAAAAAGGAAAGAGAAAATTCGACCGGCCTAAAATTCACCTAGCGCATATGGCTAAGAGAGAATGAAGGAGAAAATAGTTTTCTCCTAAACCCTAGTAAGAAATATTCTTTCCTTCTCCTTTAAGGTTGTCGTAAAATTGCTCGGGATTGATTTCGAGAGGAAATACAAAATCGAAAAGGTGGAGCTAGCATCTCATTAATTTTAAGTGCTTCTTTGTGGATACTTGGACCGCATGGATCATCAATAGAGGCTGGACACTTGGACGGCTTTACCGAAAAGGAATTCGGATCCGTACTACAAGAGGTAATCCTTCACTTATAGCTTATTATTCATGTATGTATGGTTAGTAAATTTAACGACTTGATCTTGGGGCCTTAGATGGAGGAAAATTTTTATTTATTTCGCACATCCATAGGATGCATGATTCTTCAACTGTTGGTCGGAGCTGATTTTGAAGGGTTTTTGGTAGGTTTTTCGGTGTCTGTTTGGGGTTGGTTTGTAGTTGCTTTGAGGGATGGTTTAGGGGGCTTTGAAGGAGGCTAAAGTAGGGGTTTCGATGGCTATATTTCCGGTCGAGTTTATGTGAGGAAAACTACTAGCTAAAAAGGGGGTTATGGGAGGTCTGTTTAGAGGGCTATTTCGAGGTCCGTTTTGGTGGTTGTTTCGATTGTTTATAAGAGGGGTTTTGTTAGTGTGAGGAAAGAGAGGATGTTGCATAGGCACCGTTATAGACGAGAAGGGCTGATTGTGGAGCTAGAGTGGATGAGAGGGGCTGGTTGTGGAGCCGGAGTTGGAGAGAGAGTGTGGTTGGAAGTGGCGTATGTGTGTGTGTGGTGAAGGTGCGGTAGGCTAGAGAGGGCTGGCTTGGTGCAAGAGAGAGCTAGAGAGTGTTGTGTGTGGAGCCGAGTGGCCGAGATGGGTTGATTGTGGAGTTAGAGTGGGCAAGAGGGAAAGGTCGGCAATGGCGTGGGAGGCTAGTATGCCGGAGCTTGGTGTAAAAGTGCTTGTGACGACCGAAAATGGGTGAAGGTGATGATGAATAGTCTAGGTAAAAAAATGCATGAAGTGGTTTTATATGTGGGTTGTAAGCCAAATGTCATTTTAGTCCTTGGTTTTTTCCCATGCATTAATTTGAGATCGATTTTGCTTACTTTTTTATTATAATTTGAGCCTCCCATTTCAAATAATTGGGACTTTTATTTTAATTTGTTTCATTTATACCATTTTATTTTAATTAAAGGACTTGAAGCTTTGATTTTTTTTTCAATTATGCCCTTGATTGTTTTTTTAATTATTTCCAACTCTTTATTTTTCTCGGTTAGCTCAATTCTTAGAATTAATCTAAAGTAGACCATTCGATCGGTCTTTTTTTTCTTTTTTTTCTTTTTTTTATTGTTTTATTTGATCATTTTTTTGGGGTATTTTCATAATAATATAAATAAATAAAGGGGAGAAAAATTAGGTGCTAACATAAGTTATTAACCAATATAAGTTAAGATCCGTCCTTCAATATCACGGAGCATCTATTTTTCTTAAAAAATGAAAAAAAAGATTATTTTATTGTCCAAAGGTGATTTCAGCTCAAATTAAAAGATGTAAACTTTAGAAATTCTGTAATGAATGAATGAAAAAACTAGGTAAGAAGTAATTATCAATATAAATATGATATATATGAGATCAGCGAGTCTAGATTAATATCACAAAACTGGTGAAATAGAATGAATCAATGGCATATGATTCAAAATAAAGATTTACACAAATGGAATTTATATGAAAAAGACCAATTAATTCATTATGAAAAACAAAATAATTTTGAAGTAGATTCATTATCAAACCAAAAAAATAATTTTAAAAAATACTATAGATATAATATTTTATTATATAAATCCATTAATTATGAAAATAAGAAGGACTCATCTATTTATGAATTATCATTCCAATTACATATTAAGAAAGAGATTTTTTATAATTAAAAAATCGACAAAAACCAATTATTTATAAGTCGAGAGGTATCTCAATAAGCATCTAGCAGAAGATGATATTATCGATACGAAAAAAAGCTCGCATAGAAAATATTTGGATCGGAGAATTCTCCATTTTTGTCTTATAAAGTCAATATTGAATCTTGGATTGATACCGAAACCAAAAAAATAAAAAATAAAAAACCTTTTTGATTGGATGAGAATGGATGAAGAAATGCTAAATCGTCCCCTATCAAATTTAGAATTTTTGTTCTTTCCAAAATTTGTGATACTTTACAACGCTTATAAGATAAAATCATGAGTGATACCAATCAAATGACTTCTTTAAAATTTTAATGGCAATAAAAATTTTACTGAAAATAAAAAAATCAATAGAAAGAAAAATAATGATCCTTTTATATCATTGAATGAAACAAAATCTATTAAATTAAAGAATCAAAATCACGAAGAAAAAGAATGTGAGGATTAAGTAGATCTTGAATCAATTCTCGCAAACCAAGAAAAAGACGTTGAAGAAGATTATGCAAAGATCAGACATTAACAAGTGTCGAAAGAAAAAGCAATACAAAAGTAATATGGAAGCAAGAAATCTAGTGGTTCAAGACATCTCTCTTTTAAGGAGGCAGCGAAGATTCGACTTCCTCGGGGGTAAGGTATTACGAAAGGAAGTTTATGGAGGATTATTAAGAAGTTTGGAATTTTTTCTTCCCGGGTCGATGCTCGAGTGGTTAATGGGGATGGATTGTAAATTTGTTGGCAATATGCCTACACTAGTTCAAAATCGAAATTTTTGATCAATGGAGGAACAATATCACCATTTTTGTTCAATAAGATACCAAAGTGGATGATTGACTCATTCCATACTAGAAATAATCGCAAGAAATCTTTTGATAACACGGATTCCTATTTCTCAATGATATCCCACGATCAAGACAATTGGCTAAATCCCATGAAACCATTTCATAGAAATTCATTGATATCTTCTTTTTATAAAGCAAACCAACATCGATTCTTGAATAATCTACATCATTTCTGCTTCTATGGTAACAAAAGATTTCCTTTTTATGTGAAACTGACCCATATTAAGAATTATGATTTTACGTATGGACAATTCCTCGATATCGTGTTCATTCGAAACAAAATATTTTCGTAAATAGCTCTACGGATGAATGGATCGGGTCGAATTGGAAAATAGAAAGATTTGTACAAGCTTTCCTTACCACTTTATGGAAAATCATTAGGTATGAATGCGTTAGATACCTGTGACTCGATTGGTGAAATATTATCTCTCTCCAAAAAACATGTTTATTTATAATACTTATATGTATGCATACATATATACATATGTATACACACACATACATGTGTATATATGTATACGTATACATATATACACATTTATGTGTGTATATGTGTGTGTGTGTATATAGCTTAACTAATATAATACTTTGTACTTGTGAGAAGTTACATTCCTTTTTAGGCTTTCTTTGTGGTGATTTTTATTGGATGTTTTGTGATAAAATTCTGAATTTAAGTTTCTCATAACTTTTTTCGGGTGTTTTATAAAGTTGAGACGAAAGCGATTGGTTAGATTTTGATTACTCGTTGCCATGTAAGCATACTTTCTAATGTTGTACTCTACTACAATCTATTAGGAGATCTAGGCTCTAACGATTTACTTTTATTGGCATTAAAAACAACATTTTGTTTACAAAATCATTGAAAGAATAAGTTTTGCTAATTTAGATCCAACTATGCTCGAAAATAGTACTTCATACTTGAATCGATTTTATGAATAATTTTTAATGAAATTAGATAACTTGTGTGATTATGGGGTAACACGGATAGCATACCAAAAATTTGAAATGGGTAATATGATAAAAGACCTATGACAAGGCCTAGACTTGATTAGTCTAGGTTAATTGTCTATTTCTCTTGTATTAAGTCATGAAGTGTGTGGCCTATTCGGCAAATAATTCACGTGGAAGGTAGAATATGGGATAGATTTAAGGCTAGAATTGTCCATACAGATTTAAATAAACTCCTGTAATCCAAGGCTTATTTTTTTCTTTTTACATAGAGTAGACCAACATTCAAAAACTTTGCAATGAATGCTTTCGAAATTATGTCGTAGGTGAAAATCTAGATTATGATCGCATAAGTAATTGAAATCGTACACACACACACACACACACACACATACATTCAATATCAAAAATAATCTTTTCATCGGCATTAAATAAAATAAAAAAACATTTTCTAATGAAATCTTACAAAAAAATTATTTTGATGGCATGTTTTTGAATTTTAGATAAAAATTTTAATTTACATTATTGCAAGCTTTTAGTCTAAAATCATTGCATAAAAAAAATGAATCATCTTTTATTTGAGTTGCAAAATTATGAAAAACACAGATTATGAAAAAATTAATTTTTGATCAAATTCAATGCTGCATTACACCAAAAGAATTATAACATTGATAGTTTTAGAACATTGCTTTTGTTGAATGAATAGATCTATTGATAAAATAAATTATGTTTGTGCAACTCGCATCACACAACATTATTCGCGCTATAATAAAATATGTTGGTGTTGAAAAATTTATGGATTAATCAATTAATTTATTTAAAATTTATTTATAAATATTATCTTATTTTATAATATTATTTATCAATATCTTTACTCTAGGTCCTGCAAGTAATGCGCGAGTCACAAATTAGTATGTATTTAAAATGTATAACGATAAAAAAATATTAATTATTCAATAGATATTGTAAATCAAATTATAAAAATTTAAATAACAATATAAAAAATTGATTTACCATAAAAATTAATTAAAAATAAGAAAATTAAAGTTATTTTGGTTCAAATTTTTTTAAATTAAAATCGAATCGAAAGTAAACCAAATACGAATCACTTCCGGTCGTATTCAACTCAAAAAAAAAAAAAAAAAAGACCGTGAAAGAAAAAAGAAAAAAAAAAACCTCTTCCAACCGGACAAACGGATCACCGTCACGCCGTACCCTAAATTTATCGCCACGTACACCCCATACCCCCTTCGTTTTCAAATCTTTCAAACGGACGCGAAACCCCTCTCTCTCTCTCTCTCTCAGCAACCAAAACCGTAGAAAAATCCGCTACACTCGCCTCGACCATGCACCCGCACTCATACACCATGGATTCCCTTTCCAAATCCGAAGACCTCGCCTTAGCCATCTTCTCCTCCTCCACTCCTCCTCGGATCTCCTCCGTCCGTGCCTCCGTCGACTCTTTCTTACACTCTCACTCTCCCGATCAATCCCGCCACTTCTTCTCCCTCACCTTCCCTACCCTATTCTCGCAAGCTCTATGGCTTCGATGACTCCACGTCGCGGCCCAACCAAAAATCAAGCGGCGGTGGATGGCTCGACATAATCCACAAAGCAAACGACCCCGCTTTAACTTCGGGGTTTTCAACGTCCTCTCTCCGAACGAGCGTGCTTTTCCAATCAATCTTCGTCGTTGATCGTCAATCTTTAGTGAAATACGTGTTCCCAATCGAGCGGTTGCCGGAGTGGGCTCGGTTTATGTTATCGGGCAAAAAAGATTGTCGGGTTTAAAACAATCTTTTCCCTCTCCTTCAAGGGAAAATCAAAGAAGATTCGATTAAAGGAAGAGGATCTTTATATTATCAAGTACAATTAAATGTCTTTGAATATTTCATGCTTTGGTTCGCTTATTACCCTATTTGTAAAGGAAATAGTGAGAATTTGAATAGTTTAGCAACTAAAAGACCCAAGAAGTTCAAATTAGAGAATTGGGCATCTTCTATTCCGTGTTTTTCGCATTCGAAACATGGAAATGAAAGAAATGTGGAGGGGAATAGTATCGTTGTCTCGGAATTGGGCACTCGCGGATGCCGATGTGTTAAAGGATCTTGGGAAGGCATACCGGGAAATAATTTGGCAAGTTTCTCCGTATAATGACTCCAAAGTGGATGAAAAGAGAAATGCGGAACCGTAGACCGAGAGTGCGGATGCGTCTTCATCAAATGCTCGTTGGAAGAGAGGGTGGTGATGATGCAAATGTTCCGAGTTGTGAGATACATGAACCCGGTTTCGTTAGGAATGGTTCTCGGTCCCTTTGGAGTGGTGAACGTGAATTTCTCTCGGTCATTCATTCAGGTGAAGGTTTGCACCGTCCTAGTCGACATGGCTTGGCACGCATACGCGGTGGGAGGACCTGGTCGGCACTCGGATGCTTTAAGTGTTGACTCCGAGATCCCATCGGATGAACCCGAGACCTCTTTGCCAAAGTTGAAAAGGAGAACTCCCGATGAGGTTCTTTCTTCTCTACCCTTGTGAAGGGATTTACGTCACCAAACCGTCGAAGGGCCGATGTAGGATCGTCGAGTGCAGCTTCAAAGACCCCGGGAACCACCTTGGCTAAAATATTTCTTGAGGCTCTCCCACACATATTAGTACGGTATACCGGAGTCCCCGCCGGAACCACTAAGTTTCTCCGGGTATTCTACAACCGGACTTGATACATCACCGTCGCTAAGTGCCCATATCTTGGAAAGGTAGTTGATGACATGGCAAGCACTCATATTTGACAGGAGGAGGCGCACTTTTTATGCAAGCAATGGTCAATAATCTTTATGTACATCGAACCTTTAGGGAGCTTCTCGCAACATTTGAAGCTACAAGTCAACTTTTATGGACACTCACTTACTTTTTTCCCACACGCTCGCTTGACCATGAGAAGGCAGGTGAAGGAAATAATTTGTCTCACAAGTACATGGCTACTTGACACTTTACACAGCCTATCGCCGCGTGCTCGAGTACTACGTAAACTCCTCTCTACTTTTATCTTCAACCTCTCGCATCCCAAGCTCGCTACTTTTTCAGCTCGTTGTAGTTGGTTTGTCAATTGGGCTATTTCCTGTTCCTAAGGACCCCGAAGTCTTTGTTCGCATGCCGCAGTCTCGGGTCCCGGATGTCATATTACCTGTCCGGAACCACCCGATGATTCCAAGTTGCAGCTTCTAGTTTCATTGCTTCTATTATATCACTTGTTACACGCATTTACTCCGGTGTTGGAGATGTCAAAAGGAATCGCAGTGGTGTTACGAGAACTACGAACCAAAGGTTCATGCCCCCACCGCTCGATGAAAATACAATTGCAACAATTGTTGAGATGGGCTTTACAAGGGCAAGAGTCGAAGAGGCATTGAGGCGGGTGGAAACAAATAGTGTTGAAATGCCAATGGAGTGGCTCGTTCAGTCATGCCGAGGATCCCGTGCGGAAGAATGATGAGTTGGCTCGAGCACTTGCGCCGTCACTAGGAAGTTCATCCGAAGGATCGAAAGTTGACAATGTGGATAAGCCAATAGATGCCCCGACGGAAGGAGGACAAATGAAGGTGTCTCCCGTCGAAGATATTCTTGCCGCGTTTGTGTAGTTGTTTCGGATTAGTGATACGATGGCATTCTCTTTGATGATTTGCTTTTGACCCTTCGCAATCGGAATAAAGGAGAGGACCATCTAAAGGTGGCATCTTATCTTATTGAGCGAGCTAAAGCTTTGCCCGTTGGATTTTTCCAAGGATTCCGAGTGCATTGTGTATGATATCACATATTTTAGCATTGCTCCTTTTCGAGGATGGAACTGTTCGAGAAATTGCTGCACGTAATGGTATTGTTGCCGCTGCAGCGAGATGTTTTGATGAATTTCAAGGCTAGAAATGCATCGGGGAGCGAAATTCTTGTACCAAAATGCATAAGTGCTTTGCTGCTCATCTTGGATAATATGTTGCAATCCGGGCCCGTAATCTCTTCGAATCCGTGGGAGACTTCATCTCCACCGATTCATCGGTTCTCGCATCGGGTATGGATGAAAAAGTTGCTTCGTACTTCCCCGAGAAAGAATGCAGTGCAAAGACTTGAGAAAATATTAGGGAAGTCAACCGGTTACCCGACTATTGAAGAGAGTCATAAAGTACTACTTGTTGCTTTTGACTTGATGAAACAAGCACGTCCCTCGTCGTGATCATGCGAGCTATTATGCGATTATGTGCTCGCTTGACAAAAACTCACGTTTTAGCCTTGCAATTTCTTGAAAACGGAGGGTTAGCCGCTCTCTTTAGTCTTCGAAGAAGTTGCTTCTTCCCCGGATATGACACCGTTGCGTGTCGCCATAATTCGGCAGCCTCCTCGAAGATCCTCAAGCTCGCAAGCTCGCTATGGAATTGGAGATACGGCAAACTTTGAGCTGAAATCGCCATGCTCGGGCATATTTCCCCAAGGACATTTTTGACGTCTATGGCACTCGTTATCTCCGGAGATCCTGTGGTTTTTATGAAAGCTCGCTGCTGCAGTTGTCGATTGGAGTCATCGGGAGGGAGGACTTTTGTGGTGTTATCAAAGGAAAAAGAGAAGGAAAAGGACAAATCAAAAGCTTCGAGTGCTTGAAGAATCAGTCCGGATTTTTGAAAATAAGATGCATGATGGCTCGGGTAAATGTGCCAAAAGCCATAAAAAGATTCCAGCCAATCTTACTCAAGTAATTGACCGAACTTCTTGATATAGTTACGAAATACCCTTTGCCAAGAAGCCGGGAAGGTTGTGTTGGTGACTTAAATTCTATGGATGTGGATGAACCTCGCTACCAAGTTAAAGGGAAAATCCAAGGTTGACGAGGCAAAGAAAATGGAGTCCGAATCCGAAAGATCCGCTGGATCGGCTAAGGTGACTTTTGTTCTCAAGTTGTTGAGCGATATTCGCTTATGTATGTGCATGCAGTTGGAGTCATACCGAGACGAGACTTGGAATTGTGTCCTCGGCGGGGATCTATTCAAACGGATATTTACGGGCATGGTGGGATAATTCATCATGTCTTACATCGACTGCTTCCAATAGCTACGGATAAATCTGCAGGACCTAATGAATGGAGAGACAAATTGTCCGAAAAAGCTTCTGGCTCCTTGTGGTGTGGTTGATCCGGTGAAGGGCGGAGGCGAGTAATTAATGAACTAGTGAAAGCTTTGTCTTAATTTTCAAACTCCGAGAGCAATTCACAAAAAAACATTTTGTTGCTCGATAAAAAGGTTTTTGCTTTTTCCGATCCGGTATATTCAATTTTGTCAAAAAACGCATTCTCCGACCACTTGCTCGGTTCCGGATGCTCACCGGATACAGCAAAAAGCATGATAGATGGAGGAATGGTGCGGTCTCTTACCGGCATTCTTCAAGTGATTGATTTGGACAATCCCGATGCGCCTAAGATTGTTAATCTTCTATTGAAGGCTTTGGAAAGCTCGTCAAGGGCTGCCAATGCTAGTGAGCAAGTTATTAAATCCGAGGGTCCGAATAAGAAGAAAACTACGAGTGTCAAGTGAGAGACATGATGAACAAAGCCGCATCCGCTGCGGAGACCATAGAGCATAATCGGAGTATTGGTGGCACGCACGAAGTCCCGGATGGGTTAGATTATTTGCGAGTGCTCGGGTCGACTCGTAGCTTCAAGTGATCTAATTGATGTTGCTCGAGCCATTTGAAGGGGTGAATGTGGATGATCTTTTCGATCATAATTGGAGATGCTTATATAATGGGTTCTGCTAATATTTGCAATTTCCAACTACGATGGTGTGCCAATTTCCTTTTATTTTTTCTTCGTGTGTGTGTGTGTGGGGGGGGGTTAATCGGGGTTGGTGTGCAATCACTACATTTGTTGCAATATATAACTAAGGAGCATCACCAATCCGAGTATTCGAGTAATAACTTAGGAGAACCACCAAAACTAGTATTCGGGTAAAGCTCGTCAAGGGTCGCCAATGCTAGTGAGCAAGTTATTAAATATGAGGGGTCGAATAAGAAGAAAACTACGGTGTCAAGTGAGAGACAAGATGAACAAAGTCGCATCCGCTGCGAGACCATAGAGCATAATCGAGTATTGGTGGCACGAACGATGTCCCGGATGAGGAGGAGACCGACATTCAGCAATAGCAAGGAACTCCTCATGTTGAGTGTAGTTGTGCTTGCACATCAAAATCGATCGACGAGAGCAAAACATGAGGATCGAATCGGAAGATACAATGGCAACCAACCCATAAATGGAGATAGGAATGGATATCATGCGTGAAGAAATGGAAGAAGGTGGTGGGTTACGCAACACCGACCAAATTGAGATGACTTTTCATGTCGAGAACGAGGTCGATGATGATATGGGTGATGAGGACGATGACATGGGAGATGCTGGTGAGGAGGATGAGGATGATGATGAGGGGTAGGATGAGGATGAGGGGAGGATGGTGCTGGTATGATGTCTCTTGCGACACCGATGTGGAAGACCATGATGATACCGGCTTGGGAGATGACTATAATGATGAGATGATCGACGAAGAAGATGATGATTTTCATGAGAATCGTGTTATAGAGGTAAGGTGGAGGGAGGCCCTTGATGGGTTAGATTATTTGCTGAGTATCGGGTCGACTGCGAGCTTCAAGTGATCTAATTCATGTTGCCACCGAGCCATTTGAAGCGGTGAATGTGGATGATCTTTTCGGTCTTCGCGAGCCTTTGGGTTTTGACCGCCGATGTCGAGTGGCGGTTCTTCCGTTGAGCGACTCGTCACGAAGTAAATGGATTTCAACATCCTCTTCGTCAAGGCCATCCCGATCGTGGGATCCGGTTTCTATGTGGTCATCGGGTGGGCATTCATCCGGGGATTTAGAAGCTTTGTCATTTGGGAGCTTTGATGTAGCTCCCTTTAACATGTTTGATGCTCCTGTTCTTTCGTATGAACATGTACCCAGTAGTATATTTGGTGATTGTTCGGATACTGCAACGACCCCCACCTTTGTCCGATTATTTTGTAGGTATGGACTCGTTGCATACACAGGGACGAAGTGGGCTCGGTGATGGCAGGTGGACCGATGATGGTCGCCGCAAACGAGTGCCCAAGTCGTTGCAATTGCACACAATAGAGGAATAGTTCATGTCGCAATTGTTTAGTGTACCCGCAACCAATGCTCCCATTGAGAGGCGATCCTAGAATTCGGGAGTGCAGGATAATCAACCATCCGGTGATCCTCTATCCAATGATGGTCAAGTAGTGGTGGATGGTGATAACACCAACGGTCGACAAGCCGAACATCAGCAAGAAAATGGCAATGAAGTTATCCACTATCAGCCCAATCCAACCGTTGATCCTCGGTCTTCATTCAATGGTGCAGGTGAAGGTCTACAGATGGATGAGCCTATGTTAGTTCAACCAATTTCTATGAACGGTACCCCAAATGGTCTTGACAAGCATGGAAATTGGAGATGGTGATACCGCATGTGATCAAGTTGAGACAATGGGGAGGCTCATTGTTCTTAAAACTACATCTTCCGATCTATTTGTTTATAGCCCTTTCTCTCATTGTTTTCTCTATATGAAAATTCTAGAAGAGGTTCAAAATGGGGAGATACAAAGGATGATTTTAAAGCTATTCATTGAATTAGGGGTTAGGGTGTTGTTAAATACTCTTAAAAACATTCGGGAGTTGATGGTAGGAAGGTATTAGATTAGAATTTGTATCGCAAATAAGCAGCTTTGGTGGGTTTTTATTTAGATGAATAATATAGATGGCCCGACCTTAATTTCCTCCAGAGTGTCTTCTTTGTTTTTCTTTTTTGCATTTGCAATGCGGGAAGAAGATGGGGTCGGGAATACGAGCTATATCCTAACATGATAGCCGATCATAGTTTAGCAAAGTAGGATTTTAACAATCGATAGATTTACATTCTAGAAGGGTAAATAGACATTTTAAGTGGAATGAAGCAACTGAGTATATCAACCATATATTCTTATGTTGGAAGTAGACTCGAAGCTTATAGGTGTTGATCTTTGGGATAGTTTTTTGTATGGGCTCGAGGCCATAATTGGAGATGCTTATATAATGGGTTCTCGCTAATATTTGCAACTTCCAACCATAACGGTGTGCCAATTTTCTTTTATTTTTTCTTCTTGGTGTGTGTGTGTGGGGGGTCAATTGGGGTCGGAGTGCAATCACTACATTTGTTGCAATACATAACCAAGGAGCATCACCAATCCAGATATTCGAGTAATAACTAAGGAGAACCACCAAACTAGTATTCGAGTAAAGAGGCAAAAGTTGCTTGAATGCAAAGGAACAAATTCTCACATGCAATAGGATTAAATGTAGAGAAATCCCTATCCGATTTGCAGTCCAAGATACATTTATATGTTTATACTTTTCTTTACCTCCTTTTCTTATATTTCATAATTTTTTATTTTTTGAAATTCTTAGAGATATTCTCAACTCGTGACCAAAAGCTTAATCATGCTATTCGACATGCTTCCATCGTCTTATGAATTCTTATGTCCATGTTCGAGAACCGCATCCTTTTGATGTAAATTAATTTGAAATACAAATGCCGAAACCCCCATCGCTTTATCCCTTTAAAATCGGTTTCATAATTGCTCGATTCTTTTTATTTTTTTCAGCAATTTTATACCTAATCATGTGAGCATTTTGGGATTGATGATCACATAAAACTATTGGAATATGTTGTTAAAAAAATTTCCTCAACTCTTTAGGCATACTTGGATGTGGTAATGCATACCTTTTTCAAATTTCTTTCTCTTGAAATTCTTTTAATGCCAACAACGGTTCTATTTGCAGAGCAATAAGGCAATCAATGGTACCTTAAGGATCTTCTTCGAAGTGGCAACAAGGTTAGTCATAATTCTATATTATTCTGTTTAAAGATGTGTTATAGCTCTTGGTTCGTACTTGTTTAATTAAGATCAGCATTTTTTTAGGTTCATATACATGGAAGCGAGGTTGGACACTATTAAATTATTAAATTTACTTTATTGCGTAACATGAATGTAGAATATCTTTTTCACTTGTATTTAAATATAGAATTTAAATTAATTAGTTTCTAAAGTTATAACTATATTCAATACTCCATTTGTCTTCGTTTGTAGGTGGACTTTCCATTTTCGGAAGATCACGAGAATTTTCGCAATAGAACGATGTTCTACTATGCCATGGGCTTGCCGATTTTCTAGGAGGATAGTCTTTTGAAATTTAGATCTTTAATGAACCAATTCTCCGGGTAATTAATTTGAATTTTGATTACATTATATTGGCTCACATTCATCTAGTATATACCCGTTTTCGTGTGAACTCGGATGAGGTAGTTCCTTGTTTCATCTCATTCTATAACGCTTATTTTTTATCGTAATGTCTTAAGTGCTTTCATTAGAATCTCTAGCTCTTCTTGGCATAAAACTCGGAGAAACCCCGAGCACGGATGCTAGGTCAACCCAAGTCATTTTTCACATGAGTTATTCGAGTGTATTAGATGCCAACTCAAGGGGTCTAACAAGTGGTTATTTGTCATGTGAAACATTGCCTATTGGATATGAATTATCAAATGGAGGCTAGGTCTTTGGCGTAAGGTAGAAATTAATAAGTTATGTGATCTCGCTTATCTTTGAACAGAAATTAACAAGAGAACATGGTAACAATAAATATTTAACGAGGTGCATCTTAAAATAGCAGAATATTAATTGATAAATACTGCTAGCTCATCGAATTTTCTTCTCATACATATTTCGTGCTTTAAAGAGTATCTATCTTTTTCGTTGGATATTAATGAGACAATGTTACATCTTTTTGTTGTATTAGGCTTTTATTAAGACAACCTTAGTGTCTATAATTTTAACATTGGAATATCATTATGCCCTATACAAGCTGTAGCCGAGTTGGAATCCGTACTCGATGCAATGTTTCGCTTGGAATCGATAAAATATGCATTGATTGGGTTGATGAGGGACCTTAGATGAGTAGCAATGGGTAAAATTAGGTTGATAATCATATGATTTCTTCTAGTAACTAATCTTTGCATATGCTTTATAAATTTTGGTTTGTTTCCTTCTTTTCCTTTGCTCGTTGCCTTTTCATTTCTTTCTAACTTTATTGTGTTTTTAGTCCTATAACATATGCCTTCCTTTTTCGAATTTCTTTATCTATAACACATACTGCTTCTATCCAAAGCCATTGCACATTGGTCCGAAACTCCGGAGGTAATGTGAGCAAGCAAGCAAATTAATGCATAAGACAATTATCTCGTTTATATATCCGACATATTTTATTAAGTTTGCATGATTTGTCATTAGTAATTATTATCTCGTTTATATATCCGACATATTTTATTAAGTTTGCATGATTTGTCATTAGTAATTAAAAAAAATAGTAATAATTTTAAAAGAAAAAAAGAAAATTGTGATTCACGTTGTTTTAGGGTTATTTAGGTGGTTTCGATTACGGTTAATTGAATAAATAAGCCAATAACTCGTTAAAATATCTAAATGTGTCCAATATATTTCGATCCGTACCTTGGATCTTGTAATGTTAAAAATAATTCCAAATTAAATCTAGAATCAAGAGAATGTAATAATAATAAAAATTAAAATCATAAGACCATGAAAGAGTGGAATATGAAGGGGAAAAAAACATGCGTTCTGTTGTAATAGTCCGGTCTATAAGGAGGTGCTTACAAAGTTGGAAAGGTAAAGAAAATCGAAACATAAAATTTTTGGTAAATCAACCAAAAGAATCAAAGGATTTAAATAATGCTGAAAAATGAAGTCTTCCAAATTCCTATCTTCAGTTTGATAATAAAAATGCTTGGTGAAGTCTTAAAAGTTCTTGTCTTCCGTTTGATAATAAAAATGCTCGGTGCTCTTGAAAGCTTTTCATTCCGCCCACTCGTAAATTGTCTAAAACAAGGATATTGTTCTTTAAGGGCTAGTTCAACCATCTAGAGAGGCAAAAATGCATAGCATATACGGATTTGCTTGTGATTTTTCAAAATCATTAACCATACTCCCTAGTTTCTCTCATTCTTTTATTCATGAGACAAACCTAGTGCAAAAATACCCTCCCCCGACTAATGTCCCGTAGGTGAAATTGGAGACAAAGTTGCAGTTTAATTCAACAAATGGTATTTTCATACTTCTTGCACCCTTATCCCTTGTATACCATGTTGATGAGTTGCTCGTCCTTCCTAATGCCATTCTTTCCGAAGTCTTAGAAAAGGATAACTACCCTATATCTTCCGATTAAGAAAACAGTAAAAATGGGTACTTATCTATTATTCATTTTCCCACTTGTAGAAGATTTATATACTAGAAGCATTCTCTATCCCATTCAAGCAAGTCAAATATTTCCCTTTTTATGTTTGGAAGACAACATGAAAAAAAAAAAAACCATCCTGCGAGTAACAATTCCATTGGTGGAATTCATTGCTAATTGTAGCTTATGGATAAAATATTTTGTCTCTTCTCCACCAAGTAGATATATGCACCTCCACATACAAGGGAATGTTGGTTACTAGAGGTATGCATTCAAATTATTATTCTTTTATTTTTAAATTTCTTCATTGCATTTCTTTTTGTATTTAATAGCATTCGGCCAATGATTCTTTGTGTGTGATGAACAAGCGGACTAGAAGAATAAATAGACAATTTATGTGGAATGAAGCAGTTGAGTATGTTAACCATATATTTTTATGTTGCAAGTAGATTCGAAGCTTATAGGTGTTGATCTTTGGGATAGGATTTTGTTGTGTAGTTTTTTGTATGGACTCGAGGCCATAATTGGAGATGCTTATATAATGGGTTCTGCTAATATTTGCAACTTCCAACTACAATGGTGTGCCAATTTCCTTTTTTTTTTTTTCTTCTTGATGTGTGTGTGTGTGGGGGGTTTAATCGGGGTTGGAGTGCAATCTCTACATTTGTTGCAATATATAACTAAGGAGCATCAACAATCCAAGTATTCAAGTAATAACTAAGGAGAACTACCAAACTAGTATTTAGATAAAGAGGCAAAAGTTGCTTGAATGCAAAGGAACAAGTTCTCACATGCAATAGGATTAAATGTAGAGAAATCTCACTCGATTTGTAGTCTAAGAGACATTTATACATTTATACTTGTTCTTTACCTCCTTTTCTTATATTTCATATTCTTTTTCTTTTTTGAAATTCTTAGAGATATTCTCAACTCGTAAGCAAAGACTTAATCATGCTATTCTGTCTTTTCTTCCATCATCTTATGAATTCTTATGTCCATGTTCGGGAATTGCATCCTTCGAAGTAAATTAATTTGAAATATAAATGCCGAAACCCCCATTGCTTTATCCCTTTCAAATTAGTTTCATATTTGCTCGATTCTTTTTAATTTTTTTTTGCAGCATTTTTATACCTAATCATGTGAGCGTTAAGGGATTGATGATCGCATGAAACTATTGGAATATGTTGTTCAAAAAATTGCCTTAATTCTTCGGGCATACTTGGATGTGGTAATGCATACCTTATTCAAATTTCTCTCTCTTGAAATTCATTTAATGCCAACAATGTTCCTATTTGCGGAGCAATAAGGCAATCAATGATACCTTAAGTATCTTCTTCGAAGTGGCAACAAGGTCAGTCATAATTCTACATTATTCCGCTTAAAGATGCGTTCTAGCTCTTGGTTCGTACTTGTTTTATTTGGATCAGCATTTTTTTAGGTACGGATATATGGAAGGGAGGTCTGCATTTGGAGTTGGACGCTATTAAATCATTAAATTTACTTTATCATCTAACGTTAATGCGAGTATCTTTTTAACTTCTATTTATATATAGAATTTAAATTAATTAGTTTCTAAGGTTATAACTATATTCAATACTCCTTTTGTCTTCATTTGTAGGTGGAGAACTTTCCATTTTCAAAAGATCGCATGCATTCTACTATGCCATGGGCTTGTTGATTTTCTCCGAGGAGTCTTTTGAAATTTAGATCTTCAATGAGCCATATTCTCCGGGTAATTTATTTGAATTTTCATTATATTATTTTGGCTCACATTCATGTAGTATATACCCATTTTCATGTGAATACGTATGATGTAGTTCCTTGTTTCATCTCATTCTATAACACTTAATTTTGACTTTCATGTCCCAAAGCGCTTTTGTCGGAATCTCTAGCTCTTCTCGGCATAAAACTTAGACAAACCCGAGCACATATATTAGGTCAACTCAAGTCATTCTTCACATGAGTTATTCATTGTATTAGATGCCAACTCAAGGGGCCTAACAAAGTGATTATTTGTCATGTGAAACATTGCCTATTGGATATGAATTATCAAATAGAGGCTTGGTCTTTGGCGTATGGTAGAAATTAACAAGTTCTGCTATTTGCTTAATTTTGAACGAGATATTAACTAGAGAACATGGTAGCAATAAATATGTAGCGAGGTGAATCTTTAATTGATAAATAGTGCTAGGTCATTTCTTCTAGGAACTAATCTTTGCATATGCTTTACAAATTTTCGTTTGTTTCCTTCTTTTCCTTTTCCTGATTCTTTTTCATTTCTTTCTAGCTTTCTTGTGTATTTAGTCCTAAAACATAGGGGTCTTCCTTTTTTTAATTTCTTTATCCATAACCCATGCCGCTTCTATCCAAAGCCATTGCACATTGGTCCGAAACCACTAGAGGTAATGTTAGGAACCGAGCAAATTAATGCATAAGACAATTATCTCGTCCGTATATCCGACATATTCTATTAAGTTTGCATAATTCGACATTTGTAATTAATAAAATAGTAATAATATTAACAAAAACAATTTTGTGATTCACGTTGTTTTAGGGTTATTTAGGTGGTTTCGATTATAACTAATGGAATAAATAAGCCAATGACTTTTAAAATATCTAAGTGTGTCCAATATATTTCGATTTGTACCTTGGATCTTGTTATGTTAAAAATAATTCCTAATTAATTCAAGGATCAAGAGCATGTAATAATATGATAAAATCATAAGACCATGAAAGAGTGGGATATGAAGAGTAAAAAAACAAGGGTTCGGTTCTAATAGCTCGGTCTATAAGGTGGTACTTACAAAGTTGGACGACTAAAGAAAATCGAAACATAAAATTTCAGGTAAATCAGCCAAAAGAATCAATGGAGTTGAATAAAGCAGATAAATGAAGTCTTCAAAATTCCTGTATTCAGTTTGATGATAAAAATGCTTGGTGAAGTCTTCAAAATTCCTGTCTTCGGTTTGATAACAAAAATGCTAGGTGCTCTTGAAAGCTTTTCATTCCGCCCACTCTAAATGGTCCGAAACAAGGATATTGTTCTTTAAAGGGCTAGTCCAGCTAACCATAGAGTCAACAATGCATAGCATATTCTGATTTGCTTGTGATTTTTCAAATCCATTAACCATACTCACTATTTTCTCATTCTTTTCTTCATGAGACAAACTTAGTGCAAAAATACTCTCCCCGACTAATGTCCTGCTGGTGAAATCTAAGACAAAGTCATGCAGTTTCATTCAACAAAAAGTATTTTCATACTTCTTGCACCCTTATCCCTTGTTTGCCATGTCAACGAGTTGGTCATCCTTCCCGATGCCAATCTTTCCAAAATCTTCAAAAAGGATAACTACCATATATCTTCCGCTTAAGAAAACAAGTAAAAATGGGCACTTATCTATTATTCATTTTCCCACTCGCAGAAACTTTATATACTAGGAGCATCCTCTCGTCCATTTTGAGCAAGTAAAATATTTCTCTTAATAAGTTTGGATGACAACAAGCACAAAAACCAAAAAGCAAAAATAAAAAATCATGCAGGTAACAATTCCATTGATGAAATTTATTGCCGACATGGTGCGGAAAAATTCCAAGGGATTGACTTTTTGTTCATCATCTCTTAATGGCCCGATACTTTTTCGAGAAGCCAGCAAGGTGATTGTAGCTTATGGATCAAATATTGTCTCTTGCCCACCAAGTAGACTTATGCACCTCTAAGTACAAGGGAATTAGCATCTCGTTTAACTATTGTTACTTGGATGTATCCATTCAAATTATTATTCTTTCATTTTCACATTTGTTCATAGCATTTTTATTTAATAAGCATGCTGGCCAATAATTCCTTGTGCACGATGAACAAGGTTGACATGTTGAAGTTAGGGGTTCTTATTGTTATGCAATCCTTCAATGACATGGCCTGCTTGGTTGTGGGTCTAATGCTAGTACTTATATCTAATCAATTATGGAATCGGAGGAAAATTATTGTGTGACTAGGGATGGAGAATGAGCACTAAAAGAATGATGGTGGCATGGATAGTCCATACATAAGTTTTGTCTAACATAGGATCTAATGCTGCATGCATACTTGCCGAGGATAAGAAATTATGTAATTTGTGGAAAATTTAATGCATGAGAAGGTATTAAAAGGGACACTTACCGTACTTTACAACTAAATTCATGCCAAGTAACAAGTGCAACAAGGTTCATTATTAGACAAACCGAATCAAATTGGTGGTGGATATCTCATCTAAGCTCGTAAGAGAGAGTGAACATTATGTTTGATAATCACCGTCTTCTATGCATGTTTAATGAAGAAATTTTCTCGATTCATTTGATGGTGACATTTTTCGGTTTGTGTTGTGGCAACTGTTCGTAAATTATTTCAGCTAGCTTATTGTAAAATCTTTTTCCCGATTGACTTTCCTCCTTTTTCCTTCTTATTTTCAGTTGATCTCCTAATTATACGTTGAGGCCACATTACATAGTTGCTTATATTCCGTGTGATAGTGTTGCTTGGGAATTTTATCAACTTTGGTGTTGTTGAATATTATGGCGATACTACATTTAAAGATGTTCTTGATGCTATTCTGAAAACGATATTGCCAATTTCTTTGGATGATATATGGGCTTTTAGAAAGGTAGGCATTGCCTTTGATTTCGTACTTTCAAGCATACGGATTAACAAAATCTTTATATATATATATATACATGCAATGTATTAAAGTCGGTTATTATTACATTTCATTAGCATGGGAAGCTATTTGTTGTATTATTAACAAGTTGGATATGCCGATAATCCCCGTGCTATTTCTACCGTGTTCGGTAGGATTTTCCATCACAAAAGGCATAGAAGTCCTAGAAATCTGAATTGTTATTTTCCATTGATCTCGTAAATTTATTTCCCCATGTTTTGTTAAAAACAAGTTGATTCCACTCCTTTTCATTACAAGTTCTACTTTCTTGTTAAGCACCATATTATGTTAATGCATTGCATCGGAGTTCTATGTTCCTCATTTGGAAAGACCTTTTCTTTGTGTTCCTCATTTGGATCACAAGTGATTTATACTCGTTATTTCATTGTTCTCTTCTATATTTATATTTAATTTTGATTTTTCAAAGTTCTTCCAAGCTTTGCATTCTCTCCTCTTGCTTATAGTGATTTCAACTTGTAAGCCGTAACTTCTAATGTGGTATTTTCTTAAATTGTAAACTACAACCGTTTATCTTGCATTTTCTTGAATCTCGCACAAATGTTTTTAGCTAACTCGTTAACATACATTTTCTTGATTACGTTGCATTTAATAATGTATGATTGCATTTCTTATAGCATGTTTGATTATTCATATCGAAAGAATGTATATGAAATGTTTAAGGTTTTCTTTTTTCCTTGTCTTTAGCTCACTCCGACCTACTTTGCAGTCTTGTAAGTGCTTTTGAACAATCATTCGGCTTTCTTTTTGGGTCTACATTCTAGCACATTTACTTGTGTTATTGGATCCATTGAGTCAAGACCTAAATCTTCCGATTTTATAATCTCATTACAAGTCGGTGTAACATTTCGGGTCTCTTACTCTTGTCATTTTTAGTGTTCATCATGGACTCGTGTCATCCATCCTATGTTGGCGACTCTTCACAAAGACTTAAGGATTATAAATCATCGTGTTAAATTTTGTTCTTCAAATAACAAGATGTTCCATCTAGAAGTAGTATAGTTATGTCCATGCTGGCAGTTTTTCCGATTATTTTCTTTTCTATTGCAGTGTGTATTGATTGTTGATAACTTGGCAACTTTCTATTTCTTCCACATTACAATGGAAAAGTCACCTAGTTCGGTAGTCGCTAGAAGTCTTAATATGCAGAATAGAGATCTACCTGTTTTGTTTTTCAAATGTAAGTAAGATGTGAATATTTAACGATTTTCCCGAGGATAACATGATTTTACTACAACAATCGATCTCTTTTCTTTTTCCTTAGAAAATAAAACTTCTCTTCAATTAGCTAGAGATTGGAGAAGGAAAATATTTCTTGTGCCAATCAATTCAAATTTCTCCAAAGAAAAGTTCTTAAAAAAATTTCATCACGTTTTTGACAAATCAAAGATTTTTGTTACTTGGCTTCGCATTTTAGGTGTTAGCCGATGAATGCATGTATAAGAAAAAAACAATTACAAGTTGCGAAGGATGTTCAAATAAAACATCCGACATTATCTATACAAACAAATTTTCTCTAGTTTTTGAATTTTTTAATGGGATCTATTTCATAATGGGTTCCAAATTCTTGATATTCATTCTACTTTAAAAGTGTATGTGTGGGTAGTGTAAGAGAGAAAACACTCGGTCTACACTTGCCATTCATGCAACCGATAGGGTCCAATATTTTCAAATGCTTAGAATCATAATTTTCAATATAACATCATATTTTTCAGCACTGTATCTTGATAAACAAATTACAAATATAATTCTTGTAATTATAGCTCCGTAAGTGCTAGAAATTAATGTTTTGATGTAGTATCAAGTATGCAGCTTCATTCATTTACAACCGTTCAATAAATTTTTGTTTCCTTATCTCGCTGGTTTTGTTTTGATGTAGAATCATTTTATTTCTTTAGATATTGAAAACACTTTGAGATCATATTATTTGAGAATCATAAGCAACTAGTGGAGTCTTTTTAGCAAGTCCAACACTAAGCTCGTAGTGATCCACTGTTCTTGTTTCACATAAACTTGATAATTAAAGAACTCGAACTCCGGAATGCTTACGCATCTCCCTAGAGGCATGCCTATGTCCAGCCATCCCATTAAAAACATACCACGGAATAAGTTGAGTCGTGTGTTAGTAGATAGCCAATTTGATTCACTTTTACTCGTGTTGGCCAAAGCTTGGCGATGAAATTGGCAGTGAGTGTTGGTGATAGACATCAATAGAAGAGCTTAATTGTGCTGACGAGAAAAACATGGTGATTTTTCGGATGCCTTCGGATCTAAATACGTCTAATTTTCCTTGTGGTGTTTATGATTGGAGAAAATTAAAAAGTACAATTGATGACCGACCTTGTCGTAGATTTTATATGCACCTTGTTCAATAGAAGTAGTTTACCTTGATATTTCATGTCAATTAGACAATCCAATGCTAATTGGATAAGCAATTGATCTTTTTTTTTAAAAAAAAACAATTGACTTTACATTATTTTGGCTTTTTTGTTGCTTGCTTGCTAATTTCAAGAAAATGATAGGTCGTGCCCTTTCCTTACCGAAAATTTGATTTCTATGGTCCTTCAATGCGGTCATTGTTTGCACTTTATCCCGCATACTCGTTTTCTCTTTAACTTAAATTTAGGTAGCTCTTTGATGAACTTCATATGATTCAAAATGGTAGCAAATTAACCGTTATTGGCTTTACTTGTTCTTCATAGTTAAGTAGTGGGATCTTGTTTCATATGTTATGTATATGCAACAATTTAGATCTTGCTTCTTTTTCCTGCATAATTCCGGCATCCACTTTAATGGTAATCCTTGGTTTTGTCCGAACATTAAGTCGATTACTTGGATTTGTCTTTAGATGTTCCGCTTTTCTAAAGTTTGAAAGTAGCCGAGTATATTTCTTAATAAGGGGAGGGAAGGATATTGGTGTGCTATTGTGCTTTGGAATTGCTTCATTCGTTGTTTTTATACCTAATCAAACCCAAATAAAACAACATGGTTTTGTACCTAACATTTTGGTTTTCCGTCGTCAATTTGTTTTTTGGATTCTAAAACAACTAAATCTAATTCTTTTCTATATATATTAAAACAAATTTGGAGTGAAACCCGATTGAATTTCCAATATGAAAATGAAATCAATCAAAGTTTTTCACTTTAGTTCGGATATTCAATCTTAAGAATGCATTCCTTCGGTCGCCTACTAAAGAAGTTGACTTCCTAGCACTACTCGACTAATTTGTTGTTGAGAAATTACCTCTTCATGGTTTTTAGCTGGAAGCTTCAAATCTTTCTTGTTAGGCCATTAGTATCTTTCTTTCATATGTTTTTTAGTTTTTATATATTTGAAATTTATATCTATTCTTATGGGATATTTATTCCTTCTCATCATGAAATTTAACATGAAATTAAGAAACAAGTGGAGTTGGTGGAAAAACAGAGGACCAATACTTGGTTACATTCTTGTCGAAGGATTGGCCTAGGGTGGAAAATAAAAAAAAATTTGTTCCTTTTTATCTTTTTGTTTCGAGTGCTTGTTTCGGAGCTTCAATCTACAGTATTGAGCATGCAAACCCAAAATTACCAAACAAAACTAATATATTTTTAACTTCAATATTTCTTTCAAATATTATAGGCGGAAGTTTGTAAAGCCATTGGCTTGAAGATATTAAATCAGCTGGTTTCGAGAAAAATGAGGTTAGTTTTTCTTTTTCTCTAGTAGAGAATAGTGATTGTTTCCATACATCCGGGATATATAGAATGAAGTTATAATCATACCAATGTTCTTAAAGTTGTCAAACTCTTATCTTAACAAGTCGATTCTTTTATTCTTGGTGATAGTAGATGTAAAGGTCTTTCATGTTTATCACTTATTATGCATTTATGCTACTCTTACCCTCTTAGTGATATGCACCCATTTTATCTAAATGGGGGTTGACTCTTGGGTTGTTTTTTTTGTCACCATAAGTATAAAGCATGGAAGAATGCTTTCTTGAATTGTTCTTGATTCGTTTTCATTTATACGAGAGACTTATTTAGTTTATATTGTAGAAAATATTCGCCTTATATATTGTTCGTTTAGATTACATACAAAGAGGAATACAAAAGTGTCTATACTAAAAAAGAATTCAATACAAATCAAATCTCCTAATTTATTTTTAAAATCTCCTCTAATTTATCTCCAAATCCGTTGGAACAGATTTTCTCTTAATTAGCAGCCTCTTGATCCGATTGCCACCGATTTCTCCTTCTCAACACTCTTTCTCAAGCTAGTTTGTAAATGTCTTCCATAGCTAGCTTGCTTACTAGGAAATCAAACTGTTTCTTCCGTAATCCCTTAGTGAGTATATCACTCGCCTATTTGGTGGTTGAGTATATCACTCGTCCGTTCGGTGGTTGGTATATAAGGAATACAATTTAGGTCACTTTCGAGTTTTTTTTTTTTTTGATAAAATCTCTATCCACTTAAATGTGCTTGGTTCTATCATGTTGAAGATGGGGTTGTGCAATCGAAATGGCAGCCTTGTTATCACAATACACTTTCGTAAGAAGTGACAAGAATTTTTAGATCTTTTAATAACTACTTGATTTACACTACTTCACAAATCTCATGTGCGAGGGATCTAAACTCAGCTTTTACTTTGAGCTAATACATTATTTCTTAACTCCGTCGAGTGACTAGATTTTCCTCATCAAAAGTGCGAGTATCCCGATGTGGATCTTCTATCGAAATGCTTCTCGTCCAATCAGCATCCGTACGCATTTCAACATTATCATATTTTTTAAACTTCAAGCTTTTCCCAAGTGTCCCCTTTAGATACCTTAGTATTTTGTAGGCGAGTCTCAAAGTGGCGAGTGCATAAATTGACTTATTATGCTTGCAACAAAAGCTATCTCGGGATGAGTATGTGATAGATTTATCAGTCTTTCCATAAGTTGGTGTACTCGTTTCCCTATCAATAATATCTTCATCCTTAGCGAGGATTAGGTTAGCCTCAATTAGTGTTTCGGCTACCTTGCACCTCAATAGATTAGATTCTCCGGGTAAATCAAGGATTTACTTTCTCCGATTTACAAATATTCCTTTTGATCTTGCAATTTTCATTCCAAGAAAATATTTTAATGCTCCTAGGTCTTTAATTTCAAACTCTTTTGTTAGCTTCCTTTCCAATCTTGCAAGTTCTTCATAGTCATCACCTATTAGGATTATATTATCCACATAGACAATTAGAATTGCAATTTTTTCCATCTTAGAATGTTTATAAAATAATATGATCTCGCTTGACTTTGGTGAAAGACATAGCTTTTTATTGCATTCCCAAACCTTCCAAACCATGCTCGTAGAGATTGTTTCAGTGCCATATAAATACTTCTTGAGCTTACACACTATTTTTTCCAACAATTTTTTCAAAACTTGATGATGGACACATAAACACTTATTCTTCCAAATCTCTATTCGGAAATGCATTCTTCACATTCAGTTGATGTAAGGTCCTCGTTGAAATTGACTACAAGAGACAGCTTAAACTCGAATAGAGTTAATTTTAACTATTGGGACAAAAGTCTCTTGGTAATTAATACCATAGGCTTGAGTAAAACCTTTAGCAATAAGTCTTGTTTTGTATCTTTCTACACTTCCATCAGCCTTACACTTCGCCGTAAATATTCATTTATAACCTATTTTTCTTTGGTCCGTGGGTAACTCTACAACTTCTCATGTCCCATTTTCACTAGAGCACACATTTCCTCCATTATTGTCGATTTTTATTTTGGATCATCAAGTGCTTTTTGAATTTTTTTGAAACAAACAGATTATAGATTTCTTATGTAAATGTTCTATGATTAAGATAGTTTATCATATGAGAGATATTTTGCCATAAAATGGCTAGTACAGACCAAGCACTTTTTCTAAATGTTATGGGAATGTCAAGATCATAACATGTATCAAGAGTAAGAATAGTATTGGATAGTAAAGGGTTACGATATCTTGCATGTCTACGCATTCATCACTCCGGATGTCTTACCGACTTTGTTTCTTGGGAATAATAGGCTCTCTAAGATTTTGATGATTCTTTTTTGTTTTGTAAACTCTAAACTCAAGTTCCCGTCGTTTAGGATTATTTAGTAGTATTTCTTCTCCCGTCAAATTTTTAATATTTTTTGGCTCTATAATATTAGGAACAACCAGCTTTTGGAAATTTTTAGAGGAATCTACAGCTTTAGGTAAGAGAGTGGAATTAACTTTCCGTAAATTTTCTTCACTTTCTTTCTCCTTTTGAAAAAAATTTTCTTCAAAAAAGATTGATGTTCAAGGAAGGAGACATCCATAATGACAAATTTTTTAGGTGCTAGGATTAAAACATTTGTACCCATGTTTGTTTGGGGCATAGCCTATGAAGACATTTTTTCTACTCGGGATCTAATTTGACTCGCCCTTAGTAGGTAAATGGACATAAGCAATGCACTCGAAAACTCCTAATGGTAAATCCGAATAGATCTAGGCTTCGAAGAAAAAAAAATTAAAGCACTCAACTGGTGTACTATAGTTAAGAACTTGAGTAGGTGTCCAATTTATCAAATAGGATGCCGTTAAAATAGCTTCCCCCATAGAAATTTGGAAACATTTTTAGCAAAGATAATGCCATGAGAAACTTCTAGCAGATGTTTGTTTTTCCTCTCAACAATCCTCGTTTTACCGAGGAGTATTGATACAAGTTGATTGATTTTGAATACCCTTGTGTTTTGAAAAATCACCAAGAATCTCTTTAAAATAATCAATGCTATTATCAAGTGTGGAGAATACTCTTTTTTTTTTTATTAAAATTGGTTTTCAATCATTGTATAAAAATTTTTAAATACGGTTTCAACTTTTGATTTTTCACTCATCAAGCAAACCTAACATAGGCGAATATGATCATCAATAAATGTCACAAACTATTTTTTTTCGAAATCGTGCTAATCCACGAAGGACTTCAAGCAAGTACTATGGATAAGATAAAATAGTTTTGAAGGTTTATAAAGTTGTGAGGGATAAATAATCTATGACTTTTGGACAAAGTACAACTTTCACAATGAAATATTGAACAATCCAATTCTCGAAATAACATAAGAAAAAGTCTTTTCAAATATAAAAAACTAAGATGTCCCAACCTATAGTGCCAAAGCATAATTTGATTCATGATAGAAAAAGAACTGATACTACTTAAGCCTTGAGATATTTTACCCTTAGAATCTTCATCGGTAAAATAGTAGGTCTATCTATCATCCTAATATTGTCAATCATCCTCCTTGAATTTTGATCCTAAAACACACAATGAGTCGAGAAAGCAACTCGGAAGTTAGAATCTTTAGACAATTTGCTAATGGATAGAAGATTACAAGTTTAAGTACATAGAGAACAGATTTAAGGGAGAATGTTCTAGATAAGGTTACCAAACCTTTACCAACAATAGGAGAATGTGATTCATCCGATATATGAACTTTTTCATAATCGAAATATGGTTATAAGTATGAAACAAATTTGAAAAACTTATCATATGATCGAAGCTATTGAATCACCGATCTAAGGAGTAGGAAAAGAATGACATACTAGGGCATTAGGATTACTACCCGAATGTGTCAAAGAAGCATTATGTGCATCGAACAATCTAGAATTAGATTTCAACGAGCTTTAGGATGTGATCTAATTACTCTTTATTGAAAGAGGCGATCTTGGCTTCATGAGCAAAGGTTGGTCAACCCTTACTCTCATTTTTTCCTTTTCATTTAGCTAGTTTTCCATGCAACTTCCAGTAGGTTTCATGTGTGTGCTTTGGCTTATTGCAATAGTCACATCAAACATGATAGTTTTCCTCCAATTTCTTCGAACCATTCTCGCAAAGACATGCCTCTACAACAAAGGCAGAATTCTCCATGGTTTTGTCAAATTTTTCTTCCCTAACATCACAAATTTGTAGCTTTTTCCCCTTTGAACTTCAAAAAACACTTCTCCAATGGAGGGGAGTGGTCTGTGTACCCATAATTCTATCTTTAACTTAATCAAACTCAACATTAAGGTCGATAGAAACTTGAATATACAATTATCCTCCGCCTTGTTCTTATAGTGATGGTAATTTTTTGATGATTTCCACTCATAATTGTCACTCGAATGTCTAAATCTTGCCATAGATGTTTCAAAGAATTAAAGTATTTTGTAATACTTTCCTTACCTTGGTGGATTATTTTTAAGTTTCAATGTA